CCAGTGGGGGCAAAGTGGAGGTGGTGGGGTCCGAGGAGCAGAGGCTTTTAAGGGTGTTTCATTAAATCTCGTGTCCAGCGTGAAGGGCCGGAAGTTGGGTTTCTGGAGAAGCAACCTCTCGGGCTTCGCTGTGCGGTGGGAGGGACGTCGGGCTGGTCCCTGGCAAGGCGGAGGCCGAGACCTCGGCCCTCGGCCCTGCGCCCTGCTTGAGAGCTCGGCGGGTAACCAAAGGTCAGCAGTTCGAATCCACCAGCTGCTCCATGGAAACCTTATGAGGCAGTTCTGCTCTGTCCTACAGGGTCGCTATGAGTCCGAATCGACTAGCTGGCAACGGGTTTGGGTTGTTTTGTTTTCTTTATGGCCTTCGTTTTCAGTCCTGTATTGCACATTCGTGCGTCTGGTGCGTTAAAAGGCTGGACTCGGCTACTTGGCTTGATTTTCCAAGCTCGGCCTGGAGCACGTGCTCAGCAAACATTTGTTAAATGGATGCCTTTTATTTACAGACGTTTGTTGAATTTCGGCAGGTAACACGCACTGTTCTAGCCCTTGGGGATACAGCGGTGAACCGAACGGGTAAAATCCCTATCTTCATGGAACTTAGAGTGGGATAAAAACCGAAAACCAAACCTGTTGCTGTCGAGTCGATTCCAACTGATAGCGACCCTATAGCACGGTGTAGAACTGCCCTGTAGCGTTTCCAAGGAGCGGCTGGTGGATTCGAACTGCCGACTTTTTGGTTAGCTGCCAACGCTTAACCATTGTGCCACCAGGTCTCCCGAGTGGGGATAATAGGTAGTAAATGAGTTACATTGTTTGTTAGGAGAGATAGAGAAAAGTTTATATTTATCAATGGGAGGATCAGAAAGGTAACCGTTGAGAAAACCCCTCAAGGCTGGGAGGGAGAATTTCAGGCAGAGAGCTAGTGTAAAGGTGTGGGCAGGAAGCTGGGAAGAGTTGAAAGAGATCTGAGAGTGATAGGAAGTAGCAGGCCGGCCAGATGCTGCTGAGCTTGTAGGCCTTTGTAGGGAATTCCGCTTTTATTCTGAGATAGAATTCTGAGATTCTCAGGGAAGAGTTTTGCGCAGAGGATTATGAGACTGAGAGAGGAGGGTCTTCGCAGGGTTGTTACGGAGGCTGATGTTCTCTGTGGGAGCAGAAGGAAGCAGTGTGGATGGATGGAAGGGTTTGAGGGTGATTGCTAACAGACTAAATTTTCTGGCAGTAGGTATAAAGGTGCTGCGTGGCGGGTGGGCAGTGGTGGAAAATTCTCTGGAGATCGTTAAAAAAAGGTCAGTCATTTGTCTCCAGTTTCTTATTTGTGACTAGAAGACTGGACTGACAAATCCCTGTCCCCTCCGTAATTTATAGCTGTAGGTGTTTGGAAAGAAAGGTCAGGTGAAAGTTTCCTAACTAAATGTAGGTCGGGCTTTATGAAAACAGAAAGAAGTAGAGATGCAGTGTTGTTAGGGGCTGTCGAGTCAGTTCCGACTTACAGTGTCCTTACGTACAACAGAACAAAACACTGCCCAGTCCTCCACCGTCCTCACAATTGTTGCTATGTTTGAGCCCACTGTTGCAGCCACTGTGTCAGTCCATCTTATTGAGGGTCTTCATCTTTGTTGCTAAAGCTCTGCTAAGCATGATTTCCTTCTCCAGGGACTGGTCCTTCGTGATAACATGTCCAGAGAACTTGAGCCAAAGTCTCACCATCTTCGCTTCTAGGGAGCATTCTGGCTGTGCTACTCCCAAGACAGATTTGTTAAGTCTTCTGGCAGTCCATGGTATATTCAGTATTCTTTGCCAACACCATAATTTAAAGGCATCAATTCTTCTTTGGTCTTCCTTATTCATTGTCCAGCTTTTATGTGCATATGAGGTGATTGAAAACACCATAATTTGGGTCAGGCACACCTTAGTCCTCAAAGTGATGTCTTTGCTTTTTAACACTTGAAAGAGGTCTTTTTCTGCACATTTTGCCAGTGCAATATGTCATTTGATTTCTTGACCACTGGTCCCATGGGCATTGATTGTGGATCCAAGTAAGATGAATTCCTTGACAACCTCGATATTTTCTGTTTATCATAATGTTTATTGGTCTAGTTGTGAGGATTTTTGTTTCTTTATGTTGAGGTGTAATCCACACTGAAGGCTGTGGTCTTTGATCTTCATCAGTAAGTGCTTCAAGTCCTCTTCACTTTCAGCAGGCAAGTTGTATCATCTGCATATCGCAGGTTGTTAATGAGTCTTCTTCCTATCCTGCTGCCCCATTCTTCTTCATACGGTCCCGCTTCTCAATTATTTGCTGAGCATACAGATTAAATAAGGTGAAAGGATATAATCCTGACACACGTTTCCTGATTTTAACTACGCAGTATCGCCTTGTTCTTTTCCAGCGACTGCCTCTTGGTCTATGTACAGGTTCTGCATGAGCACAGTTAAGTGTTCTGGAATTCCCGTTCTTCGCAATATTATCCATGATTTGTTATGATCCGCACAGTTGAATGCCTTTGCGTAGTCAATAAAACACAGTCAGACATCTCTCTGGTATTCTCTGCTTTCAGCCAGGATCCATCTGACATCAGCAGTGATAGCCCTCATCCCACGTCCTCTTCTGAATCCAGCTGGAATTTCTGGCAGTTCCCTGTCAGTGTACTGCTGCAACCATTTTTTAATTATCCTCAGCAAAATTTTACTTGCAGGTGATATTAATGGTATTTTTCGATAATTTCTGCAGTCTGTCGGATCAGCAAAAATATGGATCTCTTCCAGTCAGTTGGCCAGGTAGCTGTCTTCCAAATTTCTTGGCATAGATGAGCAAGCACCTCCAGTGCTGTATCCATTTGTTGAAACATCTCAATAGGTATTCCATCACTTCCTGGAGCCTTGTTTTTCACCTATACCTTCAGTGCAGCTTGGAATTCTTCCTTCAGTACCATTGGTTCTTGATTATATGCTGCCACCTGAAATGGTTGAGCGTCGACCAGATGGAATACACAGAAATCAATGACTCAATCTGTGGAAAGAGATAATGGAGAAGCTCAATGTCATCAGTCAGAACAAGGCCAGGGGCTGACTGCAGAACAAACCATCAATTGCTTATATGCAAGTACAAGTTGAAGCTGAAGAAAATTAAAACAAGTCCACGAGAGCCAAAATACGACCTTGAGTATATCCTACCTGAATTTAGAGACCATCTCAAGAATAGATTTGATGCATTGAACACTAATGACCAGACGAGTTGTGGGATGACATCAAAGACATCATACATGAAGAAAGCAAGAGGTCATTAAAAAGACAGCAAAGAAAGAAAAAACCAAAATGGATGTCAGAAGAGACTCTGAAACTTGCTATTGAATGTAGAGTAGCTAAAGCAAAAGGGAGAAATGATGAAGTAAAAGAGCTGAACAGAAGATTTCAAAGGGCGGCTCAAGAAGACAAGAGTAAAGTATTATAATGAAATGTGCAAAGACCTGGAGTTAGAAAACCAAAAGGGAAGAACACGCTCAGTATTTCTCAAGTTGGGAGAACGGCAGAAAAAATTCAAGCCTTGAGTTGGAATGTTGAAGGATTCTGCGGGCACAGTACTGAACAGTGGAGGAAGCATCAAGAGCAGATGGAAGGAAGACACAGAGTCACTGTGCTGAAAAGAACTGGTCAGTGTTCAGCCTTTTCAGGAGGTAGCATATGATCAGGACCCGATGGTATAGAAGGAGTCCCAGCAGCACTGAAGGCATTGATGAAAAACAAAGCTCCAGGAATTGACGAAATACCAATTGAGATGTTTCAACAAACAGATGCAGCGCTGGAAGCGCTCTCTTATCTATGCCAAGAAATTTGGAAGACAGCTACCTGCCAGCCGACTGTAAGAGATTCATATTTGTGCCCATTCCAAAGAAAAGAGATCCAACAGAATGTGGAAATTATCGAACAATATCATTAATATCACATGCAGGTAAAATTTTGCTTGAGGTAATTTAAGAACGGTTGTAGCAGTACATTGACAGGGAACTGCCAGAAATTCCAGCTGGATTCAGAACAGTACATGGGATGAGGGATATGACTGCTGTCAGATGGATCGTGGCTGAAAGTAGAGAATACCAGAAAGGTGTTTCCCTGTGTTTTCTTGACTAGGCAAACGCGTTCGACTGTGTGGATCATAACAAATTATGGATGACACCGTGAAGAATGGGAATTCCAGAACACTTAATTGTGCTCATGTGGAACCTGTACATAGACCAAAAGTCAGTCTTTGGTACAGAACAAGAGGATACTGCGCAGTTTAAAATCAGGAGAGGTGTGTGTCAGGGTTGCATCCTTTCACCATACTTATTCAGTTTGTATGCTGAGCAAATAATTGAGAAGCGGGACTGTATGAAGAAGAACCGGGCATCAGGATTGAAGGAAGATTCATTAACGACCTGTGATATGCAGATGACACAACCTGGCTTGCTGAAAGTGAAGAGGACTTGAAGCATTTACTGATGAAGATCAAAGACTACAGCGTTTAGTATGGATTACACCTCAACATAAACAAAAATCCTCACAACTGGACCAATAAGCAACGTCGTGATAAATGGAGAAAATATTGAAGTTGTCAAGGATTCCTTTTTTTTTTGGATGCGCATCAGTGCCCATGGAAGTAGCAGTCAGGAAGTCACGTGATGTGTTGCATTTGGCAAGTCTGCTGCAAAAGACCTCTTTCAAGTGTTAAAAAGTAACGATGTCACTTTGAGGACTAAGTTGTGCCTGACCCAGGCCATGGTATTTTCAATTTCTCATACCTGTGCGACAGCTGGACAGTGAATAAGGAAGACCGAAGGAGAATTGATGCCTTTAAATTATGGCGCTGGTGAAGAATATTGAATATACCATGGACTTCCAGAGGAACGAGCAAATGTGTGAGACAAGAAGTACAGCTGGAGTGCTCCTTACAGGCGAGGATAATGAGACTTTGTCTGGTTTACTTTAATGAGACTTTGGCTTACTTTGGACATGCTATCAGGAGGGACCAGTTCCTGGAGAAGGACATCAGGCTTGGTAAAGTAGAGGGTCAAGGAAAAAGAGGAAGACTCTCAACGAGATGGACTGACCCAGCGGCTGCAGCAGTGGGCTCAGACATAACAATGATGGTGAGGACGGCGCAGGACCTGGTGGTGTTCGGTTCTGTTGTACATGACACAGTGCTTCACGACAACACAGTCAGTTCATTTGCATTTTGTATTGACGGGTCCCTGCAAGGTGCATGCCAATCACAGGGCAGGCTGCAGCCCAGGCCCCAGAAAAAGATCAAACCCAGTTATTTACAGCCTACCCGGGAAATGTGACATACTGGCCCCGGGAGAAAACCAGGGCAAAGGTAACTCCTCAGGGCTTGGAGGAAAATCTCTCAAACGTTTTTTCTGAACCACCAAGGCAAAAGGCCACGTAAAAGAACTCATTTCACCACACAGAGCAACGCCAAATAATCAAAAGTTTTGGAATTAAATTTGGAGGAATTATATTTGATAATGTAAGAAAAGCAGGTTACTCCAGAGTGATGGGAGTCCTTTTCTCAGTCCAAGGCCCGGGCGCCACCTGGATTTGCCTTCGCGCCTTCGTTTGGCGCCTACGGCTTCGTTGATGGGAACTCGGATTATTGTCTGTGTGTGTCTCGTTTACAGTCACATGCCTGTCCCCATCAGCAAGTTTTCAGGTTACGTTACTGTCTTTACTTTGACATGTGAAAAGATCAGTCACCTCTAATCATGTAATTTCCCTTATCACTTCTTAAACATCTGTTGGTGTGATTAGATTTTTGACACTGGGTAACCTTGTAGAAAGCAGGTGTCAAAAGCATTACAGAAAGTGTTTGAAATTAATTGGCAGTCTCCAGTTTTAAGTGGAGTTGGTTTATTGGTTGCTTGTTGGGATGTACTCCGCTTTCTTACAAACAAAACCATATATAGTGGCTTTGTGCCCGGATGAGGCTTCAAAAGGTGTTTAAAGCAGCCACCGTGTGGCACTGGTAAGGATTTTGGGTGCCAGAGAACGAAGGCCAAGTGATCTGAGGAGGAGGAGAGGAGAGTGTGTTTTCTGCTGTAGGGCCCACCCTAGGCCAAATTCCCAGACAGCTGAAGGCCTGCTCCCTTTGGCCTGGTTTCTCCTTCCTTCCCTCCCTTCTCAGTGATGCTTTTCTGTAAGCTCCCGTGTGGAAATGGTGCCTGAAGCCCCCCACTCAGCATTGCTACTTTAGGGAATTGGGATGGCATTCAGCCTTTAACATAAAGAAATGGTAGCAAGCTGGTGTCTGGGATATAATTTTTAGACGTAAATTTTAGATTATATTTGGGGTCAGTAAGCGGCATGCATTTTTTATTGTTGATTTCTACAGTACTGGAAAGGATATTTCTCTTGATAATCCTGAGAAAGTGCATGACTCTCAGTGCCGTTTGTTTTTGTTAGCCACAATTACACTTCACGGTTATTTTAATTTTATTTAAAATTATTTTAAATAATAATTTAACTGTTATTAAATATTAATACTAATCAAGTGTTAAAACAGTAATTTCATTTAATGCCTGGCTATTCTCCCCCATATCAGCCAGCGTGGATGGGGTCGCTGGTATTGGCTGATGCTCTGTCTCCGTGCCCGCCACCTCTCGGGCGTTTTATATACGGTGTTGATTGAGTGAATAACGTGCTTTTCTCTCTGTGAAGGCTTGCCCTTGCTTAGCTGTGAGCAGGGAAGCCAAGTGAGTTTGTTAGGACTGAACGTGAAAATACGGGCTTGAGTAAAGTACGCGAGCTTTGGTGCAAGGACCATGTAATCTGTTTGAATCATTCCACCTTGCTAGAACACGTGGGTAAGGTAAGATGGGGAACTTGACCAGCCAGCATGACAGCCAGGTAGACCCTGCCAGTCAGTAGAGGGGCCGTTGGCATTGTCTCAGCTCATCTCCTGTCCTCGGAATGCCAGTGTTGACTGTTCCCCAGGCTCCCTTCTGGGTCTCAGCTGAAAGCCACGCAGGCAAGACAAAAAGAAACAGGTGGAAGGACTTGCCACCTGCCCAGCAGGTGTGTCATTTAATGTGAGATTTCTTGGCGGAAACTAAACCTCTCATTTTTAAAAGCAACCTAATCTTCACAAACTGGACTACGTTACAGTAGAGCCTTACTACAAAGTCAAGGTTAGAGCACTCACAAGTGACTAATGTGTAATTATTTTTCGGTTTCTTGGAATGTGACTCCTGCGCCAGGGCTCTACCGAGAGAGAAAGGACACTAGTACGTTTGAAAGTGAAGGAGGTGCCGAGGAAAGCTTCTGGGACGGGAGTGGAGAGAGCTGGGCAGAGCCTAGGGGGCCTTTGGTGAAGACTGAAGGAGGTAAGAGCTTGGAGTAAGAGTAGACTATGGCTTCTCTCTCCCTTGGCCTGATTTCTTTTCCTTTCCTTTTTTTTTTTTTCCTTTTCCCTTTCTTCCTTTCTCTCCTTTTGACTCTTCCTTTTCTGAGTGCATAACGGTAGTGAGAGGAGGCCCAGCGACTGAGGTCTTAGCCAGCCCACCCCCTGCCCCGGTTCTTCCCTTAGGAGCTCGTATTCAGGGAATCATAGCAAGATGGGCGTGAGAGGATTGTGAACCTGCGTGGGGTTCTCTCCTTTCCTCTTCTCTGGTTTCTACCCCAGCATCATAGCTGGACTGTGGCTGAGGTGAGCGTCCTAGCAGGCTGGGAGTAAGAAGGAAGAAGACTGCCTGTAGAATTGTTTATACATAAATTGGTCATATACTGGTCAGGTTCTGTGTGCACCGTATTTGAAAATACTTATGATTATGGTCTGGGATAATGGAATTCAGTACTGTACTTCTTGTTCAGCTTCATCAGAAGTGTAAACTGGTAAATCTACACTGTCTTCTACATCTTTGCTGAATCCCCTAGCTCCTCGTCATACACCACAGCATTTGGTAAATGCTTTGGAATTAGGTTGCTAGAGATGCATTTTCTTGGTGCTTCTATGGCCTGTCGGTAAGAAAGTTGGAAATGTTAAAATCTAATGATTTCTTTGGAGGACAATACCATTAAAAAAAAGACATGTTATTTTCAGATAACTAGATTCATGCAGCTGTAAGAAGTAATAGAGACCCTGTGTGCCCTTCACCCAGAGTCTTAGTCATCTAGGGCTACTCTAACAGAAGTACCACAAGTGGATGCCTTTAACAAAGAGAAGTTTATTCTCTCACAGTCCAGTAGGCTACAAGTCCAGATTCAGGGCGTCAGCTCCAGAGGAAGGTTTTCTCTGTCGGCTCTGAAGGAAGGTCCATGTCATCAATCGTCCTTTGTCTAGAAGCTTCTCTGTGTAGGAACCTCAGATCTAAAGGATGCGCTCTGCTCCCAGCACTGCTTTCTTGGTGGTGTGAGGTTCCCACGTGTCTCTGCTCGCTTCTCTCTTTTATATCTCAAAAGAGATTGGCTTAGACACTATCTAATCTTGTAGACCTCATCAGTATAACTACCGCTAATCAGTTTTATTATACCATAGTGATAGAATTTACAGCACACAGGGAAATCACATCAGATGATAAAATGGTAGACAATCATACAATACTGGGAATCATGACCTAGCCAAGTTGACGGATGTTTTGGGGGGACACAGTTCAATCCATGACACCTAGTTTCCCCCAATTATAACATCTTTCAAGCAAAGGGACTAACCTATGCAAACACAAGATATAGTGTCTGTGTTGGCAGAACTGAAAGGGCCAGTGTGACTGTTGGATGGTCACCCACGGGAGAAGCTGGTGGGGCCAATCGGGTGGGTAAGGACTTTGCATTTTACTTCAGGGGGTGTAGGGAGCCTTTGAGAAATTTTATGCAGGGGAGAGACTTACTTGAATTTACATTTCAGAGTATCTTGCTGCTGTGGGGGCCAGACTGGTAGTGGGAAGACCAACTGGGAAGCTTTTCCATTATTCCAAGAAAGAGGCAGTGGAGACTTGGATGGTGTTGTTGTGTGCCCTTGAGTTGATTCTGACTCATAGGGACCCTGTATGACAGAGTAGAACTATCCCATAAGATTTCCTAAGCTGTAGTCTTTATAGGAGCAGATCACCAGGTCTTTTCTGCCATGGAGCTGCAGGGGGTTCAAACAGCCAATCTTTCGGTTACCAGCCGAGCGCTTAACCATTGCACCACCAGGGCTTCTTTGACTTGGACTAGGGCGGCAGTAGTGGGGATAGAGAGAAATGAGGAAAATGAAGATACATTTTGGAGATAGAGCTGATAAGATTTGTTGATGGATTAGCTAGAGGTAAGGAAGAGGAGGAATCTTTTGCTGATGGCTTTAGTAAATGAATGAAAACCCACACCCGTTGCCATCAAGTCGATTCTGACTCAGCAGTCCTATAGGACAGAGTGGAACTGTCCCAAGGGTTTCCAAGGCTATAATCTTTTTTTTGGTTGTTGAAATGGTGTTTTTTTTTAATTGCGCTTTAGGTGAAAGTTTACAGCTCAAGTTAATTTCTCATACAAAACTTTATACACATATTGTTATGTAACACTAGTTGCAATCCCTATAATGTGACAGCGTACTCCCCCTTTCCACCCCGGGTTTCCCTGGTCCATCCAACCAGCTCCTGTCCCTTCCTGCCTCCTCATCCTGCCTCCAGACAGGGGCCACATTTTTGGTCTCCTGTATCTGCTTGAACTAAGAAGCACACTCTTCACGGGTATTATTTTATGTTTTATAGTCCGTTCTAATCTTTGTCTGAAGAGTGGACATATGGAATGGGTTAACAGAGCGTCTGGGGGCCATGGCTTCGGTAGCTGCTCCAGTCTCAGACCGTTTAAGTCTGATTTTTTTACGTGAATTTGAGTCCTGCTCCACGCTTTTCTCTTGCTCTGTCAGGGACTGTCTGTTGTGTTCCCTGTCAGGGCGGTCATTGGTGGTAGCCAGCACCATCTAGTTCTTCTCGTCTCAGGCTGATGGAGTCTCTGGTTTATGTGGCCCTTTTGTCTCTTGGGCTAATATTATCCTTGTGTTTTTGGTGTTCTTCATTCTCCTTTGCTCCAAGTGGGTTGGGACCAATTGATGTATCTTAGATAGCAGCTTGCAAGCTTTTGAGACCCTGGATGCCACTCACCAAAGTGGGATGCAGAACAGTTTCTTAATAAACTTTGTTATGCCAATTGACCTAAATGTCCCCCGAAGCTATGGTCCTCAGACCCCAGCCCCAGCTACTCTGTCCCTCAAAGTGTTTTGTTGTATTCTTACCTTTTGCTTTAGTCCCATTGTGCTGACTCTGCCTGTATCGTGTGTCGTCTTTCCCTTCAGCTAAGATGATTCTTGTCTGCTATCTAGTTAGTGAATTCCCCGCTCCCTTCCTCCCCACCCTCGTAACCATCAAAGAATGTTCTCTTCTGTGTTTAAACCTTTTCTTGAGTTCTTGATAGTAGTGGTCTCATACGATATTTGTCCTTATGCGACTGACTGATTTCACTCATCATAATGCCCTCCAGACTCATCCATGTTACAAGATGTTTCGCAGGTTCATCATTGTTCTTGATTGTTGTGTAGTCTTCCATTCTGTGTATGTACCATAATTTATTTATCCATTCACCGGTTGATGGACACTTTGGTTGTTTCCATCTTTGCTATTGTGAACAGTGCTGCAATAAACACGAGTGTGCATATATTTGTTTGTGTGATGGCTCTTATTTCTGTGGGATATATTCCAAGGAGTAGTATTGCTGGATGGAATAGTACTTCTATTTCTAGTTTTTTAAGGAAGCGCCAAATTGATTTCCGAAGTGGTTGTACCATTTTACATTCCACCCAGCAGTGTATAAATGTTCCAGTCACTCCATAACCTCTCTAACATTTATTATTTTATGTTTCTTGGCTTAGTGCCAGCCTTGCTGGGGTGAGATGGTATCTCATTGTAGTTTTGATTTGCATTTCTCTAATGACTAGTGATCCTGAGCATTTCCTCGTGTATCTGTTAGCTGCCCGAATGTCTTCTCTGGTGAAGTGTCATCTGTTCATAACCTTTGCCCATTTCTTTAATTGGGTTATCTGTCTTTTTGTTGTTGAGGTGTTGCAGTATCTTGTAGATTTTAAAGATTAGACCCTTATTGGATATGTTGTAGCCAAAATTTTTTTCCCAGTCTGTAGGTTCTGTTTTCAAACTTTTGGTGAAGTCTTTTGATGAGCATAAGTCTTTGATTTTTAGGAGCTCCCACTTATCTAGTCTCTCTTCTGGCGTTTGTGCATTGTTAGTTATGGTTTGTATTCTGTTTATGCCATATACTAGGGCTCCTAGCATTGTGTCTATTTTTTCTTCTATGATGTTTATCGTTTTTGATTTTATATTTAGGTCTTTGATCCATTTTGACTTAGTTTTTGTGTATGGTGTGAGGTATGGGTCTTGTTTCATTTTTTTGCAGATGGGTATCCAGTTATGCCAGCACCATTTGTTAAAGAGACTGTGTCTTTTTCCCCATTTAATGGACTTTGGGCCTTTGTCAAATATCGGCTGCTCATAGGTGGATGAATTTACATCTGGATTCTCAATTCTGTTGCATTGGTCTATGTATCTGTTGTTGTACCAGTACCAGGCTGTTTTGACTACTGTGGTGGTATAATAGGTTCTAAAATCAGGTAGTGTGAGGCCTCCTATTTTGTTCTTCTTCTTGAGTAATGCTTTACTTATCTGGGACCTCTTCCCTTTCCATATGAAGTTGGTGATTTGTTTCTCCATCTTGTTAAAAAATGTCATTGGAATTTGGATTGGGATTGCATTGTATTTGTAGATCGCTTTGGGTAGAATTGACATTTTTACAATGTTGAGTCTTCCTATCCATGAGCATGGTATGTTTTTCCACCTACGTAGGTCTCTTTCAGTTTCTTGCAGTACTGTCTCGTAGTTTTCTTTGCATAGGTCTTTACATCTCTAGTTAGGTTTATTCCTAAGTGTTTTAGCTTCTTGGGGGCTGTTGTAAAAGGTGTTGATTTGATTGTTTCCTTTTTGAAGTTCTGTTTGTTGGTATAGAGGAATCCAACTGATTTTTGTATGTTTATCTTGTATCTGGATACTTTGCTGAAATCTTCTCTTAGTTCTAGTAGTTTTCTTGTGTATTCTTTGGGGTTTTCTGTGTATAGGATCATATCATCTACGAATAGGGATACTTTTACTTCTTCCTTACCGATTTGGATGCCCTTTATTTCTTTTTCTTGCCTTATTGCTCTGAGTAGGACCTCCAGCACAATGTTGAATAAGAGTGGTCATAAAGGGGGTCCTTGTCTGATTACCGTTCTCGGGGGAGTGCTTTCAGTGTTAAAGAGCTATGGCTGTTAACCAAAAGGCTGACAGTTTGAATCCACCAGCTGCTC